ACACACACACACACACACACACACACACACACACACACACAAACAAAACCCCAACCCCCAAACACCCCGCCCCCAAAATTGACACTCACAAAAAGGCACCCAAAAAAGAACTCACACGCAAAAAATGTTTGAGACCAAAAAACTCCCAACTCAGACCAAAAATTCTCAGACCACACACACACACACACACACACACAAACAAAACCCCAACCCCCAAACACCCCGCCCCCAAAATTGACACTCACAAAAAGGCACCCAAAAAAGAACTCACACGCAAAAAATGTTTGAGACCAAAAAACTCCCAACTCAGACCAAAAATTCTCAGACTAATCAAAACAAACACAAAACTCTCACTCACACTAAAAAAGCCCTCTTACCGAAAACCTTTTACGTACATGAGAAAAAAAACTCATTCACAAAAAAAAAAATCTCAACCCCCCCAAATCTTTTGCAAAACCTCCAAAACTCTTGCTCGCAAAACACACACAAAAATATCAAAACACAAAAAAAATCTCACTCACACCAAAAACGGTATCCTTCCTCACCATAAAACCTCTCACCATCACCAAAACTCATTTTCACTCACCAAAAGACTTCTCCCATGCACATACCAAAAAACTCAAACTCACACACAAACCTCTCATATGCCAAAAACAACCTCACTCATGCAAAAAAAAACATTTAACAAAACTCTGCCTCTCACCCCCAAAATGTTCAGAACAAAATCACATGCACCAAAAAACACACACAAAAAAAAATTTCTCACCCAAAATGTTTTTTTTTTTGTGATTGAGATGTTACGTTTGACAAAAATGGCACATGACGTGAAAGCGATTCTTGTTGAAACCCGCAATCGCAAAAACGCTCTTTTAGATGGGCATGCCGGCGTGCAGTTGGGCAGCCACACTGAGCGTTACGCTGCTGCTGCTTCTGACGGGCACTTTGTCGACGTACCGAATCCCTCTGGCTCGGGTCAAGGCCCCCGAGCGGAACATGCGCTCCCGCGGCCGCTGGGAAGCTGGCAACACTGAGGAAAGAGACAGCACCGACGTGTAGCTCCAGACATTCCCACCATGAATCCGGTCCAGAGGATCAACCGCAGTTACGCGGATGAAGACAACTCACAAGTGACAACTGAAGGCAACTTTTATTATTACCGTGCACAAGTGAAGGAATAACTGCATGTTCTTTTCTCACAATGTTGCCCTTGTGGGTGATTTTCAAAATCTTTCACAGCATGATTCCCCTTAAACCAGAGGTGTCAAACTCAAGGCCCGGGGGCCTGATCTGGCCCACCGCATCATTTTATGTGGCCCACGGAAGCAAATCAAACATGTCAACTTTCATGATGCTCGCTAAAATCTGTACCGAAATTTCAAATTCGTCATAAATAAAAGGGATATTGTAAGCATTTTCTTTTTACCAAACCCCTCATCACAGTAAGTTACACAATCGCTCAATAAACCGTTATTCTTGACTTATTTATTCAGTTTCTGTCATAACGTTCCTCCAAGGGAAACGGTAACTGCAATGTGGCTCGTGAAGAAAATGAGTTTGACACCCCTGCCTTAAGCGCATTGCTCATTTGTAATTGCTTCGAAGACTGCCGTATGCGAAGGAGCTTTTCTGCCACAGTGCTTTCGATTTGATGTCGGGAATCGACATGCTTTCAGATGCGAGACTCGATTCCTTTCTCACAGACGGCGGTGACGGGTTTGGTCATAAGAAACATACAAAAGTGCTTTTCAGTCTGTAATCGATTGATTGGTCGAGAGTGAATTGTAGAAAAAAAACAACAAAAACCACCAACAAAGTCGAAATACAAAATACTTGCACAAACGTTTTGCCTCTTGAATGAAGGAACATTCTCGGTGCGTACTTTCACTTGAAGGGTGACGTGTGAGTGCTGTTGTGCTTCTCGTCGCGTGTTTTGGCTCATTTGATTATCTCCTACTTATCGTTAAGTTATTTCACGAGAAAGGCCTGTGATGGAATGTCAAGGGTGAATCCACAAACGCACACAGAAAGACAGACAGACAGACAGACAGACAGACACACACACACACACACACACACAGGATGAGCATCTGAGTGTTTCTGATGTTGTTTGTATGCACATGCACGAGCATTTGGTGTTTTCTCCTAAATCTACGTCAGTTTTCTTTTTTTTTTTTACCCCATGAATAGCCACAAACGTTTCATGCATGTCAACACCCATCTAAACTAAGCACGTGTACAATTCTCCAGACCACGTCCTATTTTGGATGCAGGAACCATTTCACGGTTGGGGTGTCATGAAAGCAATTTTCAATCCAGAATCATCTGAACACGCTTCTCCCACCTTATTTTTGGGGGTGTTATTCAAGCAAGTTTCAATCCAGATTGGTCTGAAGACACTTCTCCCACATTATTGTCTCCCTTGAGAGGACATCGAAAGATAAAAACATTCAGTAGTGTTTGATTTTGTAAATCCACCAGGAAGGAGAAAAAAAGTACACTAGTGTCAATGCCAAATGGATACTTTTCAAACGTGTTATGTTGATGCAGCGCCTCGGTGTATCCACTGCATTCGTGCAAACATTACATGTCGCTGTGCGTGTGAGTGTGTTTGAAAGTGACTTTTTTTGGCATGTGCACGTCAGTGACAATGTCCTCAAAGCAACCTGGCCATCACCACCCCCTCTCTGCTCCTGGCTTCCCCTCTGAGGATCTCCAGGAAGCCCAGTTTCGTCAAGAACTCCAGCCTCTGCCGGTCCGTCGGTTGAACCTCGCAGAACACACCCTGAGAACCTGCGCAAATGCACCCGAGTTAGTGGGAGGATTTGACAAACGGGGAAGACGACGGACGGCCTGTCCGTCCTCACCGTTGGCCTTGAGGGCCACCAGGAGGGTGACGAGCAGGGTGCGGCTGACGCTGACGTCCACCAGCTCGGGCAGAGTGTCAAGACGCAACTGGGAGGGGAAGTGATAAAGGAGCGAGTCGGGATACTCTCCCTGGTCCTCCTCCATCAGCTTGATTAGGTCCTGTGAGGAAAAAAAGAGGACACGTGTTCACTGAACTGACCGGTTATTCTGTAAAATACAACCACCAAATACTTTTCTTGGTTCAATCAGAATCATATATTCTGTGATTTTAATTGAGGATTAGTTCTGTCTGTGACTGCAGTTATACTATCTATCTTCAGGTTTTGCTATACTTCCTTGCTTAAAAAAAACAACCAAAAAACAAAACTCCTCGAGCGCTTTTGCAGTATGATTCGGGTCATTGTCCATTTGCACTGTGGAACGCCGTCCAATAAGTTCTCAAGCATTTGGGTAACGATGAGCAGATGATATTTATTACCCCAAACGCTTCAGAATTCATCCCGCTTTGTTAGCAATCCCATTTGCAGGAAATACAAGCGAACCAGTGCCACTGATAGCCACGCATGCCCATGCCATGACACAACCACCACTGTCATGTGTCACTGATGAGCGGGTACTCTAGAAGTGATGCAGAATTAGCAACATTCAGCGGGAATGTTTATCACCTCTTTCTCATTTTGAATTGATTGTAGAGTACCTTCCAAAATAAAACTCTTCAAACCGATAACAGCGCTGCTGTAACACTTAATTACGACTACATCATGATACCCATGTCGCAAATGCGCCTAACGTCGGTTTGTTTACAGTGCTAATGCTAGCGTTGTATTGCTAGCGCCGCTATTTCATTGATACTGGATAGAATCTTAATCTACACTTCAAAAAGGCTCCTCGAGAGCCATATTTGCAGTGCAAGATGATGGGCGTGTGCTTTGATGCACAGGACGATTTAGAATTGATTGTACATTGCAAAATCTAAAACTTCAAAACGATAATGTAGCAACTGCAGCTAACGTCATTTGTTTACAGTGCTAATGCTAGCATTGTATTCCCGATGCTGCTATTTTATTGACACCGGATTGAATCTCAATCTACAGTTCAAAAAGGAACCCCTAGAGCAATATTTGCAGTGTGGAGGACGTAAAGAATGGTGAGCGTGGGCTGTGATGCACAGGATGAAGCCAAGTCCTCCGTTGACGTCATCAACTGTGTGTCACCGTTTGGCTCAGTGTTCCGCCCATGGTTCACCTACTTGTGTTTTATTTCGGTGTGTACGCACCCCTTTGGGAAGGTACTTGTCCCTCATGGCGGGCAACCAGCTGGCCTGACACCTCTTGGCAAAAGAGCGCACGTCCAGGATGCCCAAAATACAGCCGCACACGCCCAGCTCGTCCTCCAAGATGAAGCTATACTCGGGGCACAAGGCCAGGCATGGTCCCAGACACCTGAGCAAGCAGAACGACTCTTATTTGCGTCTGTGCAGGGCATCGCATGAGATCCGGACCTTTTGACACACACCTGTCTCCTACGACATCCGGATGAGACGCACCGGAATCTTGGCCACACTGAGACCTCAGGTGGAGCTGACGTACCATGCGGTACAACTCCACCTGAAAGAGACCCAATATTATATAGACCCTTATATTCGAGTCGTGCGTTATGCAAGAAATAAAACCAGAAACGGAGGAATTGTCTTAATTAATCCGCACACTGCACTGCCTATTAAAATCCTGCAGCGACGACATCATCATGCCCCGAGTGGTCTCACCATAACCAGCAGCATTAGCCCCCTACCTTGTCCTTATTGCGGTAGGGCCTGATGTTGTAGAGTCGCGAGGTGGGGAAGAGAGGCGGAGGGTGAGTGAAGAGTTCGCCGCTGCCGCCTATCGGGAGAAGCATCTGCGCTCATGCACGAGACGCGCAGCACGTCAGCCGAGCGACCAAATTGAGCCGTTTCACGTGAGGAAGGGGAGGACCCACCTGCACTTCCCCGGATACGCCGCCTTTGAGCGCCCATGGCTCTGATTCCTCCCCCAACAGCTCCGTTCCTGTGGTCTTCCCGCACACTATCTCAAATCGAGAGAACTTTTTGCTCCGACAACGGGAATCATAATAATCGAAAGACTCGATTACTCACAGTGGAAGCAATTCCTCCAGGAGGCCAAGGTGGCGCTGTCATTCAGGACACGACCATCTGAGTGACAGACAAGCGGTGTGTGTGAGTGTGAGAGTAGCTACTTTTATGACTATAATTACCATTTTTATTGTCATCACGGTGAACCCCAGGGATACGTTCCAGACCCACCCACATTAGGTAAAAATGAGTCAACTAGAGAGACATTTAAAAAAAATTAAAAAAAAACACTGTACAAGGTGTCTTGACGTACAAGTGACCCGACTTGTGAGTCTTTTGAAAGTTTACTGCCAAACTAAACGTAAAACAATCTAATTTACAGGTTGTGTATTTTAAAGCAACCACATTACTTTGTGTTTCAGTCCAGTCGCTTAACATTAACACTGAGAAACGCCATAGGCAGGCTTCAACCAGCATTGGTGTCACAACAATGATACAAATGTTCGCGCACATGTAGACAGACAATATAACAATATACAGATTTTCTTTGTCATCTGCCAAGAACTGCTAATATTAGGCAAACCTGTAGGTGTAGCACAATGTGTATTGAGCGAAAGCTAAAAGTGGAAAAAACTGTTTGGTTATTCAAAATCTTTTTAATTGCGTCACTACTGTATTTTTTTTAATTAAGTATGAGTGCCATTTTCTCGTTTCTTTAAGGGAGATTAATTGCATTTCCATTCATTTCAATCAGGAAGGTTGACTTTTGAGTTAGAAGGAATGAAACTTGTATGTCAAGGCACCACTGTACGTTCCTCACCCAGCCAGCACACGAAGGCCTTGGCCACAAGTGCCATGTTCCTCAGGTCCCACACGTAAGGGTAAAGGTCATACAGCACAGCACGGTTGGCTCCGCCCACGACGCTACAGTGCAGCTGTGCGATGTCTTCGCACAGCGACAGGAACCCAGAAGCCCGGTCCCGCCATTCATCCACCTGTGGACAAACAAACCACGATCACAGACTCGATCCAAAACAGAAGACCCGAGATCGGGGGTGTCCAAACTATGGCACATATCGAGATTTTCTCAGTGGTCCTGACAGCGTTTCTTTTTTTTCCTGACCCCGGAAAAAAGTTTGGCACCCCCAACTATAGAAGGTTTTTTCGGACCTTGTGCGGTGAGCTCTTCTTGCTGTTGGCGCTGACCAGGTGGCAGTTGCTTTTGAGCCAGGTCAGATCTTGGATCAGTTTCTGGGCCGAGGGGCCGTGCTCGTGAGGCAGATAATGGAGGCCCACCAGCAGCTGCACCTGGGCCTCACTCAGTAGGCCCTTCCCACCAGAGAGGCCTCGACCCTGGGCCTTACGTCCACGGCCTCCCCCGGCAGGAACTGCGGGTCTGGATGCCGGAACCTGACCGGGCTGCCGTTTCTCGCCCTCACGGACCTCACTCTCCCCTTTGCCCTTGGTAGGAGAGGGAGGGGGTGAGCTTGAGTTCAGGGGGAAGACGGGGAGTTTCTCCACCACGGAGGTCCCTCGAAAGGTGGAGGTGCAGTCGGATCTGTCTGGCGTTTTGGATCGGGAACAGCGCTGATCTGCTCGTGCACTCTGCCGTCCTGGGAACGAACAAATCCATGTGTAGGAATGTTTCATTATTTTGATTTGAACCGTTTTGCTCGATCAGAGTACAGTTGAATATTCACCCGCTTGTAGAGGTTGGTTGAGTTCTTCCATCCAGTCATGCAATGCAGCGGACAAAGCTCTGTCAGGACAATAATCTGTCTCCTCATCTAAAGGACAAAAACAGCATTATTATACTTTCTTTGCAGAATTGTCCCTCACTTTTTTTTTTTAAGCACAGACGCTCCCAGAT